TGCCAGAGTGTAATTTCTAAAATAAAAAGTTTCTAATAATATTATTGTCATTTGTATTGCTTGAAAGGATTTTCTAAAATTAGTAGTTGAATGTATTTTTATACAAAAGTCATTATTAAAAAAATTTTCACAAGAAATTTACATTTAATTAAACAGTGTATTGTTATCTGTAATACTTATACATAGCCCATAAAAAAGTCAAATTTTTATTTTAGGAGCGCTCAGAATTATTATCAACAAATTTTCTAAATTCAAAAAAGTTTTAAGTCAATAAATCTGTTAGATATATGCATTTTATGTTAAAAATACTGAAATTATATTTTTATAATAACATTTAATTACAGTCGACCCCCCTATAAGATCATTGATTTTTCCGTTTTATCTGAATTACATGTTGTACGAGTCACTTAGATTTTACAAATACGTGTGCCGGACTGTGAATGGCTCACATATTTGTAAAATCTAAGTGACTCGTACAACATGTAATTCAGATAAAACGGAAAAATCAATGATCTTATAGGGGGGTCGACTGTAATACGTATTACATATTGTAGCTGAAATAGTTTATCCACTCCTTTATCACATGCCTATGAATGATGATGTAAATGAAAAATTGGTTATTATTAAGACTCTAAACACTACATTTTACGTGGAATTATTACCGAACCACGAATTCATATCTGACGATATTCAAGAATTGAACCGTCGTAACCATACTGAAAATCCGTGCTTATTTCAAGGAAGAATCTTATCTCATAAAGGAGGAATAGCGGCCATCTCTACTTGTCAAGGTGAAGGAACTCTGGTAAGAATTGACAGAATGATTGTTAAATGACTATTTTTAAGAAAATTTGTTAAATTATAATGAAACAGATTCAGATAATTTATTTTATAAGTAAAGAATTCTGACGAATTTTGAAACTTTTCCTGTTATTGAATTTTTGAAAATTTGTATTTTATAAAAATATATTTTCCATATATTCGAGTTTATAAACCGTTTCAGAATGTCTTAACATTTATTATGTGATTTAAGTCAATGGTTCTCAAAGTATGGTGGATGGACAATTAGTGGTAGGCGAACAAGTGGTCCAAATAATTTGTAAGACAAAGGAGGAATGGCAGCCATCTCTGCAGATTTGCATAGATGGATGCCATTCCTCTTTTATGAGATAAGATTCTCTCTTGAAATGATTTGCAGAGTTAGTCATTTTTACAAAAAGCAGATTTACGCTATTCAGCCAGAGGAAAGAATTCCATTTAATGCATCTCATATCTTTTACATTAGGTTGCCGGTAGACAAAATATTGTGACACATATCTAAAATGATAATTATAGGATAAGTAGGCAGGGGCATACTTATATGGTCATTTGAGCCTTGGTTTATGTGGTCCATAAATCCCATAATTTTGAGAATCACTATTTAAGTCATTTCTAAATATTGCCACTTAATGATTTATAATGTAGGTCGATTTCGTATATGTGGCGTTACATTATAATTTAGTGCCTATAGTGATATGTTGAATTGAGTANATATTTGTAAAATCTAAGTGACTCGTACAACATGTAATTCAGATAAAACGGAAAAATCAATGATCTTATAGGGGGGTCGACTGTAATACGTATTACATATTGTAGCTGAAATAGTTTATCCACTCCTTTATCACATGCCTATGAATGATGATGTAAATGAAAAATTGGTTATTATTAAGACTCTAAACACTACATTTTACGTGGAATTATTACCGAACCACGAATTCATATCTGACGATATTCAAGAATTGAACCGTCGTAACCATACTGAAAATCCGTGCTTATTTCAAGGAAGAATCTTATCTCATAAAGGAGGAATAGCGGCCATCTCTACTTGTCAAGGTGAAGGAACTCTGGTAAGAATTGACAGAATGATTGTTAAATGACTATTTTTAAGAAAATTTGTTAAATTATAATGAAACAGATTCAGATAATTTATTTTATAAGTAAAGAATTCTGACGAATTTTGAAACTTTTCCTGTTATTGAATTTTTGAAAATTTGTATTTTATAAAAATATATTTTCCATATATTCGAGTTTATAAACCGTTTCAGAATGTCTTAACATTTATTATGTGATTTAAGTCAATGGTTCTCAAAGTATGGTGGATGGACAATTAGTGGTAGGCGAACAAGTGGTCCAAATAATTTGTAAGACAAAGGAGGAATGGCAGCCATCTCTGCAGATTTGCATAGATGGATGCCATTCCTCTTTTATGAGATAAGATTCTCTCTTGAAATGATTTGCAGAGTTAGTCATTTTTACAAAAAGCAGATTTACGCTATTCAGCCAGAGGAAAGAATTCCATTTAATGCATCTCATATCTTTTACATTAGGTTGCCGGTAGACAAAATATTGTGACACATATCTAAAATGATAATTATAGGATAAGTAGGCAGGGGCATACTTATATGGTCATTTGAGCCTTGGTTTATGTGGTCCATAAATCCCATAATTTTGAGAATCACTATTTAAGTCATTTCTAAATATTGCCACTTAATGATTTATAATGTAGGTCGATTTCGTATATGTGGCGTTACATTATAATTTAGTGCCTATTGCTAATAAATAGAATCCAATTTGACAAATTATAGCATGGAATTTTAATGACGCCAGAAGATAATTATTTCATTACACCACATTTTTCGACCAAACTGAATTTCGAATCTCCTTTAAATACCAAGAATATTTTTCCTCATACATTATCGAAGACTTCACAAAATGTCACGAAATTTTGTGGGACTCTTCACTCAGGTAATATTTTATAATTATTTAACTAAATTTTTTCAACACTAATTTTTTGAATATATTATAGAACTTCAGTTTTTTGAACCGAAAAGTGAGAGTACAAGAAATGAAATATTAAATGAAGATATTCAATACACTTCTAAAAGATTAAACAAAAATATACCTACAATTGAAGCTGCAGTTTTTATAGACAAAGCATTGGAAAACCGACACAAAAACTTGTCATTAAATTCGTCCGATGTCGTTATGAGTATTTTAAATCAAGTATTATATAATTCCTAAATATTTTGAAATATTTTAATATAATGTATAAATAAAATAGATAGCTTATTTACAGGTTGAATTGATTATGAAATACAAAAGTTTAAACGTACGAATTAATTTTTCAGTCGTTAAATATGCTACAATACTAAATAAACAGGTAAATCTGTTGTGTTAATAAAAAATTTATATTACAAGTAAATCAGAACATTTAATGTTAGAACATTGTGAGAGATTAATAACGTGTTTTAAAATTTTTCAAAAGATGCGTGTTATGAGTGGAAGATATCTGACGAAATTTTGTCAAAAGCAAAAGAAATGGAAGAAGAAAGAAATGAAATGGGATATTGCTATTCTCATAACAGGGTAAGTAAATACTTGTAAAAATTTGCTATGCTAATTTGCAATATTTGCAACAGATTCTTGTAAAATTACAAGCAAAAATATAACTTATCATTAAAAATTACGTGGAAGAAACTGAAACATTTCCTATGTATTTTTTCCGTTTTCACCGCAATCTGTGATGCCGCTATTAGTCCCATTTAGTGGGCCCTCAAAATCTAACATTTTGGTTCAATGATTTTTTGTAGGATACGTACCTTTTAGTAATATTTTAGTGAATTGATGAAATAGACTCACTAGGAGAGTTGAAAAAACATGGAGGAAGTCTGACATAATACAGTGAGTGATCGGTTAACGAACATAATTCGTTCCAAGACTTTGTTCACTATCCGAATTGTTCGTTAACCAATTATTAATTTACCATAGGTTTGTATGGGGATTTGATTAATTCGTTCTGGAGACCCCAAAAATTAAAAAATATATATACTTTCTTACTACGTTCATTTATACGCAATAATAAAAATACATATATACGCAGTCTTGCATTTTTATTAGTTATGTTTTGTTTTTGTTTGTGGGGGTTAAGGAATCTGTCTAATGTCGATTGCTTTTCTCTCTTCTTCAGGATTTTTAGAAGTAATTACAGTAATAGCATTGTAATTGTAGAGATCCCCAAGCCTATTAATCTCAACCTGGTTTTATGCCATTCTAAGACCGTTGATCTGACATCCCCACTTCTTCAAAAGATCTTTAATTAATAGCAGATATCGGCATCAATCCTCTTTTTCATAATAAAACATATCTCGCCGAGTTTCTTGGTGTTCTTTATTCAAGAGTTCTTGGCGTTCTTCTGTCGTCAGATCCGTTTCAGATTCTATTATGAGCTCTTTAATGTTCTTTATTTCTCAGAAGTGATTTTTGTTACTCCTTTAGCTGCTTGAGTCTTCTTGATTATACTGTATCTTTCTTAGATAAGATTGAACTGCGCCCTACTGTAGATTTGTTCAAGCCATACTGCCCAGCAACATCAGACACCTCGCGAATACTATAAAAGAATTATTTCTGTCAGAAAAATAAAAGGCTGGAATTACAAGGGAGAGTTTCAAAGTTCGGGGGAATACTATCTGATCAGTATATTCCGGGTTGAGCGTCGATGTCGACGTCTCCAATGCTTCGAAAAGTTTCGAATTGTTGCCTGAAAACAAGGGGAAATCAATCAGTATTTGCTATTTTCGTCGCTTTTTTTTTTATGTTTATTCAGTGAAGTGTCCGTTATCCGAACATGTGTTCGTTGTCTGATCATAAAAATCTTTCGCGAAAGTGTTCGTTATCCGATTTGTTCGTTAACAGATCTGTTCGTTAACCGATCACCCACTGTACTGTTGATGTAAACTTTTAAATGAAATTTACGTTGTTAAGAAATTATTTATATAATTCTACCATACAATTAATATATTCANTTTGGCACCTTCTTTATCCCTTTGTTCTCCTTCACTTCAAAATCTGACTATACAACTCAGTAGGAGTTATGTTCAGTGTTCCATTTCATTAATTCTATTCAGTTAAACTAATTGTACCGGGCAAAATATATGCTGTAAAAATTTCTGTTAAGTTACAAATAGGAAAAATAAAGAACCCATTGTAGGTAAGTGAAGATACTATACAAGTATTTATTAAAACTACTTAGATTTTTAAATATTGAATAAAAACTTAATATCTTTTGAATCGTCTTTTTTTTTGTGTACAATTTGATATCATTTTGTAAATAATTGAATCAACCAAACACCAAACCAGATATTGAGATCTACTTGTCTATTAGTTGTATATAAATAGATCAATATGACATCACAGATATAATTTAAGCTATCTTTTGTTTTTATGAAACTTAAATAATAACCTCGAAAATTTACACATAAAACAAATAATTTTAAAGTAAAAAACATGTAAGAGTTTTAATCAAATCATATAGGCCTAAGTCTAATAAATCTTAAGTTTTGATAATATTCAAATTGTACATAGAAACTGTCATTAAAAACTACGAGGCTGATATGCTAAATATGACGTCCACTTAAATAAATTTGTATGGAAAAAATTAAAATAATGTGACTAGCTTTAAATGGTAGTAAAAATAATTTTATAAATCACATATTTCTTTTTAAACATAATCAAATCACCATTTAAAGGTATATTTTCAAAGTGCAATCTAGTTTTTAAAACTTTCTGGTTTATCCTTGATCCATTTTCAGCTTGAACTTCGACATCTCATAAAAAGAGTTCATTTTTCAACACCTCCTTTAATTTTGGAAACAATCAAAAGTTAAGTGGTACCCAGTGGCGTAGCGTAGATATCAGCCGCCCGGGGCGAAGGAAAATTTCGCCGCCCCCTTATTTAGGTATCTCAATTTAAAAGTAAAATTCAGTTTCGTCACAGAATAAGAAATGAAAAATTCCGTGCTCATTTCAATCGGTCCGAATCGTAGGTGCGACAAAAATATGAAATGAAATGGTTCAAATTTTTACAAGATCTTATTATTATTTATTGTGAAATTTCGCTGCCCCCTAAAAGTGCCTCCCGGGGCGGGCTGCCCCTGCCGCCCCTACTACGCTACGCCACTGGTGGTATCAGATCTGAGCTATAGAAGAGTGACGAATAATTTGTAACTCTGAAGTTACAAATTATTCCTCACTTTTCTACTTAAGTGTCTTTGTTCTTTTCTTACTTACTGCGTTAAACAGGGTCGATTTTAACCTAGGCCAGGGGTCAGCAACCTGCGGCTCGCGAGCCACATGCGGCTCTTTGGATGTGAAGCTGCGGCTCTTTACTTCCATACGCAAATATTATTTATTTTATCAAAAAAAAAAAAAAAACATTTAAAAATCGTTCTGAATCGATTAACGAGGATTCGGCACCGATTCTATCTCTCAGCCACTAGTACTCGCTTTTCATAGCACCACTCCCCCGTGACACGCGTCGTCACTGTCGTCAGTCCGTCGGAAGCTCTCGAATGACGCCGTCGTCGGATGTTTCTATGAGGTTTAATTCGCTTTCGACGCAAGACAATTCTGAATAAATAGATTAGTTTTTTTATCAGAAAACTTTATTTATGCGAGTACTATTTATTGTTGGCAAGAAAAAAAAATTTGTGGCTCTTTAAAAACTTTGAAATTTTGTAAATTGTAATTTTTGGCTCTTCCGACTCAAAAGGTTGCCGACCCCTGACCTAGGCGATCACAAGATACGGGGCGCCAGCCTTACTCATAAACAGAGAAAAGACAGATCGTTAAATCTTTTCGAATTTTTACTCTCGTAAATATTGTTTACTTTAATATTAAATAAACATTATTTCAATAGTATAGTAAATATATTTACTATTTTAATTTACGTGGATTATATGTTTATCTAATGAATTACAAACAATAACAAGTCGAATGCCAGAAAACGATTCAATAGATGTCCTGTCATACATATGGAAAATAATTTAGAAAATAATGTTCCAAATGTGTTTATTGTTGTAAGAATTTTTATGACATTGCCAGTATCGGCAGCAAGTTATCGGCGTTTAGTAGTTTTATCTCGGAAACCGTTAGATAGTAAGTTGTGACTAATAACCAAATTTATAAAGCAGACCAGAGAACAAGTTTGCTTGATCTTGAAAATCAGCGGATTTTGAGAAACAGCAACTAAAATGTTTTAAATTATAAAATGCGCTTTTGAGCCATTGCGTGAATAGTACGCGACAAAATAAACACATTTATAATAGGTGTTTCTATTTTTTTATATTTTCTTAAGCCTAGCTTAAGATTATATTTTCTTAAGCCTAGGAATGAATTAAGGGAAAGCCAGAAATATTGTCGTTTAAGGAAGGTAAAATTGTATTCTGTTGAAAACTAAACATATATGATTAAACAAATGATGACATTATTCCATCTCTTCGTAAATTATTTTATAAAAGAATTATAAAATTTTTATAATTCATCAACTAACTCTTTTACAATAACAAACAGAAAAATTGCTCAAAATTTTTCAGATATAGGTTTTTAATTCACGAAATGTTTCACTACATTTTTGTATTTTGTGTTATTGTTACAAAAATAATTTGTTTTTAATTTTTTCACATGAAAAACGTTCTTATATTATAACTGTATGGTTCATTTTAAGCATGTAACATAGGAACTCTGACTATTCTTCTACTTAGGACATCAATCTAATCTGTGATTTATAGAATTATTAATGCAATTTTATGCATTTTTAACATTAACCCTAATTTTTAAGTTAGCTTAAAATATATTAGAAAAGTTAAATTTTTTGTTCTCGTTAATATTTCTAACTTATGCAATTAAAATACTTTAATTAATATGTTTAAATAGGAATAGCTAATGCTTTTTCAATGTGTAAAAGTCATAGCTGTGTTATCGGTGAAGGCGTCACATTTAACTCAGGCCTAACATTAGCACATGAAATTGGTCACAGGTAAGTCATAAATAATTAATATAAAATTTTTAAAATTTAATTCATTGTAAATTTTCAATACTATGAAAATTCTCTCATTGTCTAAAAACATCATTTTTGTAGGAAAAATACTGGAAACACTTACACACTTACACTTTTTTATTTTATTTTAACAAGCATATTTTATTTTTCTTCAATATTTAAAATTTGAAGTTTAAGATACCAGAGGGATAGAACCAGTTATAAATTGGCGAAGGACTTGATAGTTGGTGAGAAAATTTATTTTTAGTTTTTAATGTAAAAAACGTCAGATCCTCCAATAAAAGGCTGACGTTTGATCGTTTTTAACTTTGTGAATTTTTACCTTTTATTATTTGTCTTTTAATGAAGTTTTTCTTCAAACCAATATAACTGTAACTTCTGTGGTTGTGTTAAAGGATTAAAAGATAGGCTCGAAAATGTTATATTTTTGTAAATAGTCTTAAACTTCAAATTTAAAATATTGAAGAAAAATATATCCGGAGTCATCATTAAACATTGTATATTTTATTTTTATTCTACAAATATGCCGAACATTGTATTTATAGTTAAACGTTTTATCTACTAGTTTTTAGTGCTAGAAGTCACAATAAGGTTGGGAGAAAATTAAATAACATAACTGTTCAACTTCGGTTTAATGTTCTGAAAATGTTTTCAAAACAAGAATAACGTGCTTTGATAGAAATTTAAATTACGCTAGGAAAAATTTCAAAAAATGTCTGAGAAATTTTTGAAAAGATTACAGATAAGAAGCCTTGTCATATCTTACTAGAGTCATATGAGTAAATATCCTTCCACAGTCCTATGAAAGTATGAGGGGTGATGCATGATAGGGAGGACCGATCATTAAATCTATTAAGATGCTATCGATAAGCAATAGACACTGCAAATGGATTTGAAGTCGATACGGATCCTAAACTGTAAGATAAATTTTAACATTAGCTGTTTACAGTATATTACAGTATTACAGTATATTGTTTGCAAGATTGCAAGCAAAACTGTATTCCAATCGTTTCACGGAAGTCCAAATGTGACAATAGTATGAACTTTCTTGTGTGCTATTTCAACTGAATTGCCCTTGATAAGAATTGGAACGCTCGTACGAAGTGAAGTCTGAAGTCTTACTGAAGTGTCAATCTAAAGTTTGGATCCATCATGAATCTCCCAGACTAAAAGAATTCCATCTGAAGACTTCAAATGGAAGATGATGCTGATTACTACATAATGAGGGTAATATACTAATTCATGCTTTATCCAAGACAAAAGTTTAATGCTACTTATTACGTATTTTTTCTTGGGCACCAACCGGCAAACCAACGCAAGTGTCAACATCTTTTTTTCACACACTCATTATTCTTCACAATGCTCATTGCCATGTGTCTTGTGAAAGGCCTTCTGAAGCGTCAGAACTGGAAAATATTAGAACATCCTTTATATTATAAAAGAGCTTCTTGTCTCGAAAATTGTTGAAACTAAAATCTCAAATACTATAGTAGAGATAACCGAGACTTATCATACTGCTATTGGTAACATCAAAATGGCACTTTAATCATTAGAATGCAAGTTTATTATATCCTTCATACTCCCAGCCTTGTGATTACGACCCCTTCCTAAAACTGAAAAACTTTTTTAGAGGAGACAATTTCAGTCTGTAGTTGAAATTTTAAAAAGCTTAGACCTCTCCATCACTAATATCAATAAAAACAATTCTGCTAATGAGATCCAGTGTCTACCGAATATTTGGAAACCCGTCATACAGACAAGAAAGGTCTTTGTTGATGGTTTACTTTTTATTCAATACTACTAAAGTTTTGAATAAAAAATAAACTTAGTAAAATAAATATTTTAAAATTCATATGCATTGCCACTAGTTTTCCAGAATTCTCATATAGGCCTATAGCGCCATTTCTAAATTTAAGACTAATCTCCAATCTACGGAATTTAAGCTTTATTCTTTTTACTGGAGCAGAATAAAAATTAAATGCCATAATTTCTTTATTTTTATTCGTTTCATTTATTGAAATTTCCATTTGGTCAATGTAGATTAATTGTAATACTGTAGTTAAGTATGGCCGGATAGCCGTAACGGTAAAGGTGTCACCGCTGATGGACCAGGATTGAATTTGGGTAAGTAACCAAAAGAACTTCATAGTCAGTAGGATCGGTATATGTCAGTAGGATCGGTATAGGGCCTATCCCTGACCGTCCATTTACCCCAATTGTAGACCTGGCCGAATTCACGATGCGTGTGGAGAAAAGGTCTTAGTGCCCAAAGCACAGACAGAGTCAAAATTGAATAAAAATAAATATGCTTTACCTATTTATTTCAATAGTAAATCGTTATTGTTGAAAAAATTTTAAATGTTAAACATTTTAATGATGATAATTTTTCCCTAAATTTTTAAGTTCATTAATTTAAAAAGTTGGTAAAAGAAAAACGTGTTTTTCAATATTTAATTCATATTAATGTAATATTCATATTTAATTATATGCATATCTGAGTGAAATGATTTATGAATTTAACTATGAGTGAGTTAAAAAGTAACTATACATGACATCATTACATTAAGGTTTAGTATTTGCGACAACAATCTAAATTTTCATTATTTCCTATAATTCGATACACGCGAACTGTCGAGCATTCGAAAATATTAGATCATTGGAGGGTATTGTCGAGCTCATGGGAAGATTTCTTCTCTTTCAAACACTCATTCATTCTGAAAGAGAAGATTTCTTCTCTTTCAAACACTCATTCAAAGATACACATATATCTTTGTATCATTATGTGCAGCCTCTAATAGAAATAAACACTAATTTAACTAACAAGTAAGACATAGCTGTATCTTTGTTATCCATTAACCATCAGCTAGAAATAAAACTATCAACAACTAGAAAACAGACAGAATATCCCACTTTGCTGCTCTAAACGAAATGCCCGAAAACACTCATCCAGATTTTATTATTGTCTTAAACGCTATCAGTTTAATGATACAAAATATCAATTCGCAACGACTGTTTAAGCTAAACACTAGATAGCAGGCCTACTGTGTACTTTACTCTGTAATTCAAGAAAACCAAATGTTACAACTTATTTACTGTACATTTGACATCGCTTTTAGTCCGTTTAATTATTACTAATTGTATTCGATTTCGTTAAATTATAATTGTAAGTAATAACAATAATTATCGTATCATACATTAACAGCCTAATTTATATTCGTTTAAATGTATACCTATGCCAAAATGCATTTCGAACTTGCTGGTTCCCTTTCAGTCGACTTTTCTTACAAATGTATATACATAAAAATTAAACTTTTGGCCGAAATTTATAGTATATTTTATATAAAATTTTTCATTAATTCATTTATTAGTTTACATTATTATCATTTATTTGCAATTTTCATTATCTAATATAATTCAAAATATAAGTTACAATTTAACGTTACAGTTTTTAACTTCCAATTTTTTTGTTCTTATACTTTGTTTTCTTCCATATTAAAAATTTGTATACTTTCTATAGCATTTACAAATATTTATAGCATTTATTACCAAACGTTAATAGCATTTACAAATATATATAGCATTTAAAAAACCATCCATAATCACATCCTGTAACAGACTCTGTTTCCTTGCCTTTGTCTGAAAAATGCATCTTAACGATATGTGTTGCAAAAAGTAGATAAAAGTGCTGTTACAGGATGTTATCATATTATTACATTCCGTAACAGCAATTACAATGAGGAAGCTTCAGAGGAAAAAACTCAAGAGTTGAGAGATCTGACGATCTCGGTGACATATGATGTTTCCATTCCACGACATCGCACGATTTGAAAACATCTCTTAAAGCAGTGCCATTGTCTTGCAGATATTGGCGTTGCTTTAAGATTTATATTTGATAACGGTAACAATTTACAACGCAAAAGGATATAATTAAATAACACTCATTTTCCTTTATTTCAAATAGGTATATTACTTTTGGGATACTCTGTATTTACAACGAAATTATTACATAAAATAAACTTAAATCAATTTTGATTCGATAACATAACACGTTCATCCAGTAATGTCTTCAATTGCGTGTTAGCAAATACGGTTCTAGAATAATTCTGGGTCAGGTAGTTGTGTAATAAATGCAATAACGCATTAAAATGAATTTAATTAAGAGAAGATAAGCAAAATATTGAGTCTTATCCAAATTAGACTGCTCATAAAAATTTCAAAGAATTACTTGTCCGAATTTCATCCCAAGTCCACTAAAGCGGTAGGTTGACACTTCTGTAATCCGCCTGTTAAATTATTTTAATATTAATGAAATGGAAAAGGTTTGTTAATTGAAATATTGATTAATTTATATTTTAATCGAAGTTTATCAATGGAACATGACGGTGATGGAAATTCTTGCGATTCGTCGAAATATATCATGGCGGAAGATATTGGAAAAGGGCAGACAACTTGGTCCCGTTGCAGTGGTTTGTATCTGAAAAGATTCCTAAGGTATGTTTTATTCAAAACATATTTTTGAATATTTACACTATATAATAGTACTAATTTTAATTAACAATTAATACAGATCATCACAATCTAATTGTTTATATAAAAATATTTCCATGGTAAAGTACGATCTGATGTTTGATAATAAATTACCAGGAGAAAAATATTCACCTGATGCTCAATGTCAATTCACTGCAGGAAAGCAATTCAAAGCGTATTATGACAAACCTGAAGTGAGTAATCATTTACTAATTAATATAAAATTTATGGTTAATCTAATAAATAGAAGATAAAGAAGTTAAATTTTTTGAATGAATAAGTTAATTTATATACAAAACATTATCAATAATATTTTATACGAATTTTTAGAACATTTGTGAATCATTATGGTGTTTGAGTCCAAATGGATGGAAATATCCAGTTCATCCTGCTTTAGACGGAAGTTGGTGTGGTATTTATAAGGTAAGTTAAAAGGTTATAAGCTACTTATAAGTAGTATAAAATTTTAACAAATATTATTAGAAAAGCAAAAACAATGTCTATAAACAATTCAATATATATGTTACTGTGAAAGACCGAAATTAGAGAATGTCGATATTCTCCGGTGAATATCGACACATACAAAATACGTCGGTGAAAGACCGAATATTTGGTTATTTTATTATACATTCGAACAATCGCCGGTGTATGTCGACAAGCACAAATAAGCTTTGGTGAAGGTTGAAACGACACTCGAGAAACCAATGTCAACAGTGAGTCGACAGTCTGTCACCAAATCCTTTGTGGGTAGCCGGAGGTAAGACAAGGTCGTACCTCTTTTCCCGGCAATGGTTTGCTAGAAACTGCTCACTTTGTCACTGGATAGTGTTTTTGTTCTTTTGATCCCGTGAGATGGGGATCGGTTTGTCAGGTCGAGTGGCGGAGGATGAGAGGGGTTGTCGGTAAGACGTCGGCGATATCCGAATAAAAGACACCATTAACAGATCAGTTCATAATTTGTAAAAAAAAGTTACTTTCCATAGATGAGATTTCTTCTCAAGAAATATCGCTGAGAGAAGCAGCTGCAGCTAATTTGAAAAGTGGAGGACAATGCTATACACGCTGTCATTGCAAAAAGAAGTGTTCCACAAATAAATGCAGTTGTAAAAGCAAGGGACTCTTGCGCAATTCAAAGTGCCATAACAACTTAAGTTGTTGCAATAAATAAGATTTTATAACTTTAATCACATAATATATGTGTGAGTTTACTATTGCGTATTATTTTTTTCTGATTAAGAATGTACTGTTCGTTTTAGGTTAAGGCCCTGTACACACTAGGCGTTTTTCAACGAGCGTTTAGCGAAGCATGCGCACTGGCTCGGTTTGGAAATGGATGTGGAAGTGATTGCTTGTGTGTGGCTCCTCTATCGTCGCTATAAAAGACGATGGCAGAAGCAAAGAGAATTTTGGGTGCACCCAATATTACGAGATAGACTGACGCATGAAATGTTTGCGACGTTGTATCCAAAACTAAGACAAAATAAATTAAAGTTTTTTAATTCTTTTAAAATATCTATAAAATCCTTTGACGATGGTTGGTGTCTTTTAGATATCATCAATAAATAGATCAGTATCGAAATGATCGTTTTCCATTTCAGCACATATATCTCAAAGCGCTCGGCTGACGCCTGCAAAACGCGCGATCGCATGTACGGTAACATGGCAGCACATATATCTCAAAGCGCTTGGCTGACGCCCGCAAAACGCGCGATCGCATGTACGGTAACATGGCAGCACATATATCTCAAAGCGCCCGTAAAGCGCTCGCAAAACGCGCGTTTAACGCGCGCTTGGCTTTTGAGTGTGTACGGCTACTAAACAGTTTATTTACGTGCGCTGTTACTTAAACCTATATAAGTCCTATTTTGACATATTAAAACGTTGCATTTTTGTCTTAACGTAATAAAAATATTTTTATTTAGTATTCACCATCAGTGCATGCTGAATGTCGACATTTGCCGGTTAAGTGAGAAATGATGATATTTAGCAAATATTTCGTACATACACGAAACGACTGTGTGAATACTGACATTCACCGGAGAATGTTGACATTCGCCAGATATCGGTCATTCACAGTAACATATACACAGCATAACAGATGGCGCTACACACGCAGTTCACGATTTTGAACTGTTTATGTGGCACCATCTATTATGATTTTTATTAAAACAAATTTTTTATTTTTAATTATTATAAAATGGCAAAAAGCTTAATTTTGAGCGTAGGGATGGATTTGATAAAAATTGTAAATGCTAAAAACGAGTAAAATCGTCATTAAGTCCGACCCTACTCGAAATATGACAACGATCCCCATTTATACCCCCATACCACCAAAATTTAATGGCATCAATCCCTCTAATAAGCAAACCTCCCTGCAAAATTTCTGAAATTTTCGACAAAATGCACAGAAGTTATTTAGCTTCAAAGAGGATGAACGAAATCGTGCCACCCGTTTACCTACTAACACACACACAAACGTTTCAAGGCTCCCTGACCCCAAAAATGTAAAAATCTTGGGATATCATTTTTTGACCGATCGCCATACTATCCCTCTGTTATATATAACAGAACAGGGAAAGTAATATCTAATACAGTACTAAAATTAATAATGAGATAGCTGAATAGTGGGTCTGTAGATGATCGACAATCGCAATTTCTCGCAATTAATACTCTTTTAAGTCGATATCAGTTAATCAATTTTTCGGACAATTTATTTTCATCTTCCATGTTTTGAAACCGTGTCGTATGTTTATATTTGTTTTATAAACGCAATGTAGCATAATAACGATCACTTGGCACTATTCATTCTTTTATTTCAATATTCGTTGATACGCGTTTATACACACGTTTCGGGCTTCATTTCGCCCCTCTACAGTCGACCCCCCTATAACACTGTTGATTATTCCGTTTTATATGAATTCCATATTGTACGAGTCACTTAGATTTTACAAATATGTGTGCCGGGCTGTGAACGGCTCACGTATTTGTAGAATCTAAGTGACTCGTACAACTGGAGTTCATATAAAACGTTTATATTTATAAAAGGTTTAACTGTTATCAACAGTGTTATAGGGGGGTCGACTGTATACAAGTAGCACATAACATACCTTTAAAATCACAAATTCCATCTTTAGACGTGTATTACCACAAACGGGAATCATACAATATATATTGGATTATTTCAAATACCAGGCCAAAGATTTAATCTTACTTGGTACATACAAGACCCAGACTTTCGCAGTTAGGCTTTTCTGGATTTTGAAGACTCCTCAAACTTCTATTAAGTCTTATAAAAATTAATATAGTTAATGTATTTAGTACTTAGATATTAAACTATATTATGAACCTATCATTACGTACATATTCACAGAAGGTCCCTGGAGATATCAAGAAGATCTTAGAATGGACATGTAGTACAGTTCTTTCTTCTTTAATGTCAATACCAGTTTGTACATAATCTATATAATTGAACTTTTCTTTTACTAATCTTTTTATCCTTATTTAATAGACAACTCAACTAAACTTCACTTTTACGAATCGTATTTGTTCAGCTCTCAGCATCTAGTGGCGTTTTCCTTTATGGTGATTCGCATAACAATGCGTTTTTATTTAAAAATTGCAAGTTAAAATTCTCAACTATTTTTCAGATTTCTTCCAAAAAATCTTTTTCAAAAAATTTAAAAAAAATCTTTTTTATTTTATTTTTTTATAATGCTGTTTTCCTTTAAAATTTTTTACAGTATTTTTAGCCAATTCTCGTTGATTTTTAAACTTAAGTTTTTATTTATACAATGTTTATTTTTGACAAGACTATGTCTTGTTTATAAAATAGTACTGCCACTCGTTCTTATCAGCATAGAGGTATGAAGGAATACATGTCGAGAGTTGATATTTGGCACAGAGTGTTAGGTGCCCAAATCATTTGCGCATAAAAAAATCCAGACTCGTAGGTAGTCAGAGGACCGAGAATCGAGTCAAAATAAAATCCAAAATGGCGACCCTCTTCTACAAACAGGCAAAACAGCTACCTCACCCCACCGAATTCGGGTAGGGGAGAGTACCACCCCCAGTCATTCTAAGAAGTGAACTCTGACCTTAGGACTGAACACGTAGTTTCTTCTATGTTAAATAAAATTTGTAATCTAATTTTGTAAATTTGGGAGTGCTTCAAATATGACGTTAAAACGGTTTTATGTCGTTACAAGTGAGTTTTTTTAACATTATCTAGTATAGTAAAATCGTAGGACCGATGAAAATTTGACGTTATATTAGGGTTGTCGTTACATTCGATGACATTATAATCGGGTTAAACTGTATATTGTTTGTGCAAAATAAAAAAATA